TCGATGAGGCCATCGCCATCATCGTCGGTTCTGTTCGCGCACAACTCACCGCCGACATAAGTCGAGCAATCGGGATCGTTGAGATCGACCAGTCCATCAGCATCGTCATCGAAGCCATTGTTACAAACTTCAACCAAGGGCGGACAATCGGGATCGCTGCTATCGACGAGGCCATCCCTGTCATTGTCCTGCCCATCGAAGCAGTCGAGCTCGGTGTTGGGATACTGGGCTTCGGTGGCATGCACGTCGATCACCAGCTCGTAGGCGTCGGCATCCTCCACGGTCCTGGCGGTGAACACCGAGACATGACCCGCGGGGACAAGATCCCAGAAGTCGACGAGAGCGCTCCCATTTTCGAGCCCCACGTCCCCACCTGTGAGCGACGTTCGCGTGACCTGTTCGTCATGATACGCCCATAATGACGCGCGCAAATGCAAGGAGAGGTCGTGGCGAAACTTACCATCTCCATGTTGCCCTTTGCCGGCGAGCTCGAGCTCGAGCGTTCCCTCCTCGCCGCTCGATTCGAGGAGCGAGGAGTCTGTGATTTCGATAAAATCGACCCCGGAAGCGACCAGATAATGCACCTGGTGGAGATCGAACTCGCTGGGTCGCACGGGCTGCACGGGGAAGAGCTCGTAGCGCACGATCAGGCGAGCGCGCCCTCCTCCTGCGTAAACCTCGACGCGCGATGTGGTGCGGCGCACGTCGAGCCCCGCGAGCGCGCCATCTCTGTGCCCATACATCGTGCCGGCATCCGGCATCCGGATCATCGCGTGAGGCTGGACAACTCGGCTCGCTTCGAAGTCATCCTCACCATCGAGCGGATCGAAGCCATGACGCATCTCATCGCCATCCCACACGCCAGAACCATCCGTGTCCTGGGCTCGCGGATCGGAGCGCAGGCGCAGGATCTCATCGGCATCGCTCGCGCCGTCGTGATCGGAGTCGCGTTGCCGAGGATCGCTCCCGAGGTTTGCCTCAACGCCATCCGATAGCCCATCCCCATCTGTGTCGAGACGGGTCGGATCGAGCATGGGCCAGGCGACCTCCTGACCATCGGTGAGCCCATCGCCGTCCGTATCCGCGACCTCGGGATCCGAGCCGTACACGAACACCTCGCTCGCGTCCGAGACCCCGTCTGCATCCGAGTCCTGCGCCGTCGCTCCAGGCATCCCCAGATACATCGCGACATCCTCAGGATCGTTCGCGTCGGCAGGGTCAAAGCCGTTGCTCACCTCGAACCCATCGCTCAGGCCATCGCCATCCTGATCGGATAAAACCCAGGGGTCCTCGCCATCGAGCAAACCATCGCCGTCACGATCAGGGTCGAACGGCGCATCATCCTCGCGATCGAACAGCCCATCACCGTCGGCGTCTGCGCTCCATGGCGCAGGATCCTCGCCGTCGAGCAAACCGTCCAAATCGGAGTCGCCTCTGTTGGGGTTCGTGCCCCGCCCGACCTCTTCTGCATCGGTCAGGCCGTCGCCATCAGAATCCTGCACGGCGACGTCGGTGCCAAAGATGACCTCCTGGCCATCGGTGAGCCCATCCCCATCCGTGTCGCTTCGAGCGGGATCGGTCCCATGAAGAACCTCCATGAGACCGTAGAGCCCATCACCGTCTACATCTCGAACACGCGGCGAGGGATCGTAGTCGATGTGGAGCCCATCACAATCGGCGTCGGTCCTCGCGTCGCAATGAACGTCGTCGGGCGAACAGGCAAGCAAAGGGCAGCAGTCGAAACGATCGCACATATCGAGCAGGGCGCGATCTCCATAGTTCACATCAGAAGGGACCGTGGCATCGAGCCATACGGGGAGGGTCGATACGCGACGCACAGGCTGGGCGCTGCTCACAGTGCTCCCCATGAAGGAGAGCTTCAACTGATAGAGCCCGCCAGCGGGCGCATCTCCCCTGACCCCGAGATAAACCGGCGTATTTTGCCGCTCTCCAGGGAGGATGGCCGCGTTGACCTTCGAGGTGTCACACCCCTCCTCGGTACACAGTGTGTTGGCGAGGTCGCGGAACTCGTAGACGATCTCACGTTGCCGTTCGCCGCGTCCTGTGATCGCGAAGCTATTGTCAGGGAACCTCGAACGGCACAGCGCCACATCAGGGGTGTCCTCGACGCCTGCGTTGTTTAAAACACAGACGCTCGGATAGAAGTTGCCATCACAGCCACACACAGGCTCGGCGGGCTTCCCGGCGCAATCCTCGTGGGCAACAGGAGGATCGGCCTCGCGCTCATGGCAAAGGCCATGCACATCACGAGGGAGGGTGACCAGGTTCAAGGGTTGCTCCACGGGCTCGAGCAGGAACTGCAACTGGCCGTCGACGCGCTCTGTCCCGGAGTTCACGAGCTCGACGTTCAGCGGGAACAGCGTGCCAGGCCTGAGCTTGACCACATCCGTGTTCTGCGATGGCGTGATCGCAACCTCGAGCGAAGGTTCTTGTTCCACGGTCAGGAGCGCCGGCTCGCACGTCATCGACAGCAGATGATGCTCGGCCAACACGACATCGAACCTGCCACCAATGGCACAACTCGCGGACACCTCATCCACAGGCAGTGGCGCGACCTGATCGAACGTCGCCGGCCTGAGTGGGAGGGTGAACAAGGAGCTCTCCCTGGCGACATGCCTGGCCCCTCCATCGATATCCCAGCAAGAGGACTCGAGCTCCAGCACCGCGACGGAGCCCTGAACTTTCCCGCAGCGAGGATCGCTCCCCTCGAAGGAGAGCATGGTGTGGACCTTGACCGGAACCTCTTCAACCACGCCCTGCTCACCGCGAACGACGGAGCCTTGGTGCGAGATCAGACAACTCGCCGCCACACCACAGGTCGGCGCCGCAGGCGTCGCCGTGCACGCCAGCACCACCGCTGGCCCGAGCCACAGCAGCGCGAAACTCGCCACGCTGCAAGACCAAACGCAAGACCCGAACGCACGCTCTCGAGGATGCATCGACGCTCCATCACATGAATGATTTTCATCTCTGGAACAAGATAACATCCAAACATATCAAAACCAATGCTTCGACATCGCTCTGATCGCGCGGCGCCAACGACACCCCAGCGGGGCATATGGCACGAAGAATGCTCGGCGAGAACAGTGGTGCCATGCCGTCCTCTCGCCTGGCATTCTTCGTGCCATATGCCCCGCTGGACGCCGACCTCGCGTGGACAGGCGCGTTCGAGACAGCGGGAACGTGCACAGGCCCATTCACAGATATACCCATTGCAAAAGTTACACTTTTGGGTTTATGCAAATCCCGAAAAAACCGAGATCTCTTTCACTATATCTTCCTCACGAATCGAGTTCTTTATGCGTTCGCTCACCCTGACCTGCCTGTTCGCGTCTCTGGCCGCAGCATGCCTAGGAACATCTTGCAGCAAAACACCACCGCTGATCACCGCAGAGACCATCACGTTCGAGGCGCCACAAAAGAACGCGCGCACGTGGAGCTGCGGCGACTTCTACGAACTCAACGTGAAGGAGGGGTTCGCCTGCACATTTCAGGAGTGCCCCACGGGTCAAGAGAAGGATCCAGACCACAGCATCTGCTGTTGGCCGGGCCAGACGTATGACGAGGCCAAAGGAGAATGTGCCGGTGAGCTGAAATGCCCTGAAGGCACCGAGCCTGACTACCACTCCACCTATTGCACCCCGATCGATGGTCTGGCGTGGTATGGGCCGGGATGCGAGGCGGGAAAAATGAGCGATTGCTCGCTGTTGGGCAAATATCTGGAGGCCACCAACAGCCACAACCCCGAGCCTGACTACAAGCTCGCTCGCCACTACTTCGAACGCGCCTGCCGCGGGGGTCTCATCGACGGCTGTGAACGCCTCGCGAACAACCTCTTGCGTTTTGACAAGTCCGCCGAGACCGAGAAGCTCACGGCTGCGCTCTTCGAGTTGAGTTGTGATGGAGCAGACCGCACAGCCTGTTTACGAGTGGGGAACCAGTACTTGCTCGAACGCGAGATCGAAGCTGCGCTCGATGCCCTCGACCGCGGCTGCCAGGAGTTGAAAGGAGGAGAATCACGCCAAAGCATTATCTCGTGCCAGCGGCGCGACCTCTACAAGCTCCTCGGCGCCCAGGATCCCGAACAAATCACGACCTATATCGAGGCGCTCGAGGAGCGATGTCAACGCACGTCCTACAACCAAGAGCAGGCATGCTTTTACTACCGCGCCGCCTCGGGCAGCTACGAGGTCGCCACCCCCCATCAGCTCGACAAATGGTACCACGATACGCTCACCGCCTCGTGTGAGAGCGCGCAGCCAGGTTACGTTCATGCGTGCACGGGACTCTTGAGGAAAGCGTTGAAAGAGAGGAAGGACACCAGCACCTACGAGGAGCGGATGGAGAAGGCATGCGAAGATGGCTATTGGTACGCCTGCTCCAAGTTGGGCTCCACGCTCTACTACAACAGCCCTACTGGCGAGGACGCCTCTTCCAGGCGAGATCGATATGCGCGCGCGGTTCCGCCGCTCGAGCGAGCATGCTCGAAAGGAAACAATGCATCGGCGTGCACGCTCCTGCGAAAGATGGCCGACGCGGGGAAAGGGCTCCCCTCCACTCGAAAGGAGAAGCTCGCGCGCCGCGAGCGCGCCTGTCAGATGGGCTCGCAATCGGCCTGCTACGATCACGCGGTGCTGCTCTATCGCGTGGATGGCACCGCCGAGAATCATCGCGCCACGCTCGAGGCCTTCGAGCGCGCCTGTGAACTCCCCGATTACCGAGCGTGCACCTTCATCGGAATCATGATGTCTCGAGGTCATGGTGTGGAGATGAAAGAAAAAACGCGCAAACGCCTCGCGGCGCGCTACTTCGAGCGCGAGTGCCTCGAACACGACGAAAAGATCGCCTGCGATTGGCTCGGCTATATCCATCAATATGGCGAGGGCGTCGAGCCAGACAAAGACAAGGCAAAAGACTACTACACACGCGCTTGCCGACAGGGGAACCCGAGCGGGTGCAGGAACTTGCTCGGCGTTGTCGATGTCGATGACATCGACGATGGCGCCCTCTTCTCCGCGCTCCTCGAGAGCTCGAACGAAGACGACGCGCCCCCTCGCGTCTTCTTGTTCACGATGGAAGAGTTTGCATCCTCGAGCGTCCCACAACTCGAAACCCTCGAGAACGGCATCGAAACGTGCCGAGCGTCGAAAGCAGAGTGCGCCAGGCTCGAGAAGCGCTTCTCGAAACTCGTCGAGTCGGCAAAGAAAACCTTCACTCAGGCCTGCGAGGGGGGCGAAGGAAAGGCGTGTTGGTATGTCAGCAAAATGCTCGACAATCGGCTCGGCGGGCTCGAGTACGACGAAGCAGAACAACAACGCATCCTCGACCTTGGCTGCCGACATGATGACGCCGCCTCGTGCTTCCGAGCTGGCAAAAACCACTACTTCTCTTATTGGACAGCAGAGAGTCGACGAGAGGATGGCGTCGAACTCCTCGCGCGCAGTTGCACATCAGGCAAAGACCTCAAGCGTTGCCTGATCGCGTCGCATGCAGTCATTGAAACAAGCGGCGACGTCGACCGCGCGCGCGACCTCATCGAGACCGTCTGCACCCCAGATATCATCTCCGAGCTCTCGTGCGAGCGTCTGGTCCAGCACTGGCTTCGCTACCCGGTCGAACATTCGCCGCTCGAAGCGCGCGCCTACCTCGAGTCACGCTGCGAGCAAGGCGACGAGCCCTCCTGCGCACTCGTCGCACGACAACTCTTCGCGAAGGATCCTGCGCGAGCCCTCGCGCTCGTCCCTGAAACCTGCACACCAGAGACCTCGCCGGCGCTTTGCATCGAGCGCGCCTGGCAACTCCTCCAAACTCCAGAAACGGTCGCGCGTGGCGTCGAGCAGCTCGAGCGCTGGTGTGAAGAGGAAGAGTACCCGCGCGCTTGCCATGACCTCGGCATGCACCACAGAAAGGGCACCACGCTCGGCAAACATGTCCTCTCGCGCGAGGCGCTCGAGACAGGATGCGATCATGGAAGCCGCGATGCATGCTTTGAAGTCGGCCAGCTCTACGAATCCGGGAACGAGTTCCTGAAGGCAGATAAAGAGCGCGCTCGCGAGTTCTACCTCGACGCCTGCCGCTACTACCACCGAGAAGGCTGCATGCGGCACGACATGCTCGGCAAAGAGAAATAGGCATCGGGCGTCGGCGCCGCCGTCAGCGCACATGCGAGGTTGAATTGACGCAGGGCGTCAAACCGAGTTCAATGGTCCACCCCTCGCTCCGAGCAATGACCTGTTTGTTTTGTAGAAAACGCGCTCGGAGGAGGCGTCTACGAATCATGGATAGTCAAGGTGATGGATCATGAGTGATGCAACCTCCCCTCGATGGGTCGTTCATAAGTTTGGTGGAAC